AATAATAATAGCAGATGAATTTATATTTATAATTGCGTATATATACAAATATAGACTTACACCCATAGTTGGTGTATATTTCTGTGTGTTAACTGGGCACGTGGGGCTAATATTTAATATCTGTTTTCTTTGCTTGATGATGTTTTTGGGTGGTTCAGCCTTTTTTGAGATATTTGTGAGTATGGGATTTTTTTTTTGTTTCCTACTCTTACTGAGGTTATTCCACTGTATTGCATTTGTTAACTGGTAGGTTTTACGTTTCACGATGTGAGTTTCCATAGTGGTAATCGATGTGTGTGTCCTAACATGTTTGATACTTCATTTATTTTCTTTTTTTGTTTTTTGATTGTCTTTCTTTCTAGATCAGTGTTTTTACGTGAAACAAACTATTGTCTCTCTCATGATGATAATGATGGGTCGTGTGATGTGTGTGTTGGCCGTTGTGCTGTGCTGCGCCTGCGGGTATACCATGGCGGCTGCTGCTGCTGTTGATAATGACAGTCCCAGTGGCCGTGGTGTATCCCGTGGGGCTGTGGAGGTGTCGTGCGGGGCCGGCGGTGCGCTGCGTGTACGCCCCGCTGCTGAGAGCGAGTGGCTTACATGCGGTGCGGGCAGCCGTGTGTCTGCATGTGGGAAGTACGCAGACCTCTGCAGCCAGCGTACCGCAAGAACAGCAACAACAACAACTACTACTACTAATGGACAACCAAAGGCGGTGATGGCGAATGGAGATAGTCATGATTCTGTTGATCGAAGTTCAGGGATACGTGATCATTCGGATTGGGAGGGTTTTCCTCTTCCTTCAGAGAGTGAGAGGAAAGAAAAAATGAAAGAGAAGTGTAAGCCGGACTCCATCCACGAAGTTGTAGTTGAAGGAATAAAATGTTCGGTGTGGTTAAAATCTCAAAAGGTGGAGGAAGCAAGGAAACGTGTACACAGTACAGCAGAACGTGCGGGGAGCGAAGGCGCAGCAATAAGAAGTGATGTTCAAGAGGTACAAGTCGGACGCCCTGCTGATGAAATTCCACATCGAGACTCTGACAGCAGCGACCACAATGATGGTACATTAAGGTCCCCAGAGGACTCATCAGCGCCTCAGGGTTCATCTGGGACTTCTTCTCATTCTGACACCAGCATTACCGCCGCACAAGAAGTCTCTGCTTCCAGCGTAGAAACACCAGCAGTTACCAGCACAAACATCCAAACTCAAGGTTCTACTGCAGAGAGCAGTACAACCGCAACACCTTCCACTAACATGAGTACAGGTAACAGTGCTGCTGAAGAAACCACGGGTGTGATTGAGCCAGCAGACTCACAAGAAACCAATTC